AATTGTATAAAGATATCTCTCAGATATCTCTGAGATATCTGTAACTTCATAAGGATATCCTTGTTACGTCAGTGCTATGTGGGAGATAATCCATCCCATACCGATACCTGCTTTCGGGACAAAATTACATCCGCCATTGTATGCCATGGTTCCATATGGGTTTGTAATTTTCCACCTGACACGAGGTCTACCTTACACCGATTCTTGCTTTGGGGTAGAGTTTTCAATTTTTTGTTTTTTTTTCTTGGTATCTATTGGTCGTAGTTTTTTTAAATATTTTTCCTGCATTTTCTACTACAATACCTTCAGAATTTAATTTTACATTGTAGCGCCAAAATTAGTGGAATCTTGTCCTTATTTTTCAATGATTTTATTGATTTAAAAAATAATGTTAAATAAAATTTTAACTTTAATATAAGAGAAGTAGCGAGTCAAAAGGTCTAGCTAGTTTATTTTCTTCGTCTCAAACTTACTTATTTTAAGATAGTGGATTAACTAACTGACCTGTTAACGTTCAAGTCTCATGTCCGAGCAATAGTTAATCGAAAAAAGACAAATACCTAGTGTTCTGAAAAGATCTTGAAACTATAGCTACAAGAATATGAAATAAAAAATAGATATTTCCATTCTCTCCCTAACACTCTTGTCTAGAATATCTTTTTCTTAAATTTAAATTTCAGTGGATAAATTAAAATTCGCTACTTTGTATACCGTTACTCCTTCACAAATCTCTTTAAAAAATTATATTATTTCTTATTTAGTATTTAATACTTTAATTTGATATTTAATATTAAATTTTTTAATTTTAATATTTTACTTTAATGTAAAATTTCTTTTTAATTTCGAGATTAAATGATAGATTACATCATGGGCGTATCCAGAGGGGGGCAGCTGCCCCCCCCCTAGACTCAATGAGATCCCCATTGAGATTACGAATAATATAATTAATAGATTTGCCGAGGACTCCAGAAAATTAATTTTTATATAAATAAAAAATTTTTTTTATAAGTACGTAGTTTAATTTATGCTGCATAATTCACCTACGAGTGAATCCTGTTCTGCCCCCCCCTAGACAAAAGTCTGGATACGCCCATGGATTACATATAAAATATTGATAAAGAGAAACGCGTACGTACAATACTTGTTAACACTTGGAACAAATTCTTTCTATTTAGATTTACAGTTTAATTACATTTTTTGTTTATAAGTCTAATAGTTGTTTGTTTTTGCAGGAATTTGGAAACTTTGAAGAACAAAAAGAATGGTTAAAATTCCGATATGGATTAGTGGATGACGATCTCTATAAGTTGGTGTTTTGCATACATGTTGATAATATTGATTTTTCAAATAAATACTTTGTGAAATGATACAAAAATATAAATAACATTTTAAATTGGTTCTTCAAACATGTATCTTCTATAATGTACTTCTTCTTTAAATCTTCTTTAATTAAACACATACCTTTTATTGTAATGTAATTAAAGCAATAAAAAATCACATTTACATTGCAAAACATTTTTTTTAGTAACATAAAGATCTATATTATATTTTTCGGTAATTATGTACTATAGGGGAGTCAGCTCCGATGACCTTGACCTTGACATATGTTGTCAAGGTCACCCTCCTGAGTGACCTACAGAAGATTTTAGCTGACGTTCATTGTTTATTAAAAAGTTATTAACAAACAAGTTTTGATATTTATGTACTCTAGGGGAGTCAGCTCCGATGACCTTGACCTTGACATATGTTGTCACCCTCAACCTCCTGGTCACCCTCCTGAGCAACCTTCAAGTTTTAGCCGGCTATCGTTTTTTATTAAATATTTATTAACAAAAAATTTTGAAAATATAGCAGTTATGTTAAGTATGAAAGACATGATCGATACACAGTAATTTCGCTCCGAAATCGTTAAATACGCAGAAAAATAGGCTTAATTAATATCCTGGTTGATATAATATCTACATAAAGTAAGATTCAACCCACACCTAGGCAAAGGATCCTACACAGCACAAAGCTCCGATTAAGCTCCTAGGAAGTTCATTTCGCTGAGCTCCCAGGGAGCTTATAAAATTCGACAAAACAAACTTCCAGGAAGTTCATTTCGCTGAGCTCCCGGGAAGCTTACAAAATTCGACAAAACAAGCTTCCAGCGAGTTAGTACTATATATGTTACATCCACTACGTTTCGACCATCCGGATTGTGGTCCTTCTCTAGTGGTTGGTATACTCAAATATTTAACAAATCACAAGAGTATTGATTAGATTAGACTGACAAAGATGTGGGAATATGGAGGAGGAAAACAAATACTGGATAGAGGAAAGGAAAAGAATATTTTGGAAATGTATATTTTGCAACCACGGTAGGGATCGATAATATGGAACATTTTGCAGAGAAATGTGAAAAAGCAAAATATTGGTTTTGGCAACTGGAAAAGGATAGAGAGAAGAGATTAGGAAGATTATGCCCATCAAACACAGAACATTGCAACAACGTTGTAATATTGCTGTAATGTTGCTACAATGTTACAACATTGCCGTGATGTTGCTGCAATGTTCTGTGTTTGCTGGGTGAAATAATGGTCTAGAATCTAGAATCTAGATAGGGAGAGATTTTAAAGAGATTATGGACAGAAAAAGAGAGGATAATGAGTCGCTTGAACGGTTCCAGGCAGGAAAATAGTAGTAGTGATATAGAGGCTGTATCTTAGTGTTAGCTAGAAGTTTACTTGACATTAGGATTAAAATAAATTTTGAGCTAATTTAGGTTTAGGCATAGATTAATATAAATTAATTAGAGAATTTACAGCACAAAAGTTAAGGAAAAAGATAGGATATGGTAACGGTGAAGCAAGTGTATGGATGTGTAAGTGAGACTAAGTACTTTATATAAACCAAGTCCCACTTCTTGGCTATATAATGCTGAAGTGAATAAAGCATAAATGTATAATAAACATTTTATTTTTCTAAAATAATTTTAAGTTCATCTTTAATTAATGAAAAATATTCTTCCGTAATATTATAAAGAACATTATTTACATTATCTTCTGTTAAGCTATTATATGCATTTTCATCTAAAATATATAATGTTATGATTTTCCTATATCTGACACAAAAATCTTGTATTAAATTAGATTCCGTACTTACCTTTAATTGATAAATGTCCAAAGAGTTCACAAACTCCAGGTATAAATGCAATTGTATCTTTAACACCAATTAATGGCTTTCTAACCCAGATGTAAATACGTATATCATTGTATAATTCATCGTTAGATTTTGATTTTGCTCGTGTAATATATACGTTATATGCCATTTGACGTAATTGTAAATGGTTTACAACAACGAATGTACGAGATACAAAATCTTTAATATTTTTAAAATCAGAAAATTTAAGACAGAATCCTTTCGCTGGATAATCTACTAACAAGTATATACCAGAAATATAACTGCAAAGATCCTAAAATAAAATAAATATTGATAATATATCTTGTAAATGTTTAGTCACCAGGTAATTATTATAAATAATATCACCTACAATATATTCAAGTAGCATCTCATATTTTAAATAGTACAAATGCCAATGTAAATGATTCACAGAGGCATGAGCACATAAACCATTGAAAGCAGCCCTCAAAGACCTAATGTAAAAATACAAGTAAATATATATAAAACTTTGTTACATTTAGATAAATGTTTCTAATATAATGATTACCATAAATTGCTTAGTAGACATAATTCTATTACTTTATGAAGACTATACTCTGTCATAATTTGTGGCAAATATTTGAAACGTTCTGTAAGAAGTAAACAGTGACATTGCTCCAAAGGACTGGCATTAATTGCAATAATGTCGTTTGCGTCGCCATTTCCTACGTCAAATAATATTTCTTGCCGTGTTAGTTTAGTGAAATTAAAACCCAAAAAGCTGAAAGATTGTAATGTAGATGTGATTGATTCCGGGGCACGTCTACATTGTGCTCTATCTGGATTTAACTGAAATATCATTGCAAAGTATTAGGCAAAAATTAACATCATTTTTTTATATATTAACGAGTATACCTGTACTAGAAATCTGTATTTTCCCTTCAATGTTTTACTCTCTCGTATATTTAATATATAGCGAAATGCTTTAATTTCTTCAGCTTGTTTCCACATATGTCGTAAAGTGTTATCAAATAAAGACTCATTTTCCTCGCATGAATTAACGAGAAAATTAAAATCCTTTGTGTCATAGGCAAATGTGGTAATTTGTTTATACGAAAACATATTGAGTAAGATTTATATATCACACCTACACGACTTGTACCAAACACATTAGACAATCTGTAAAAAAAATACAATGATAAACATATTGATGTATAGATATACAGGTATATATTATAGTGCTGATACTTTAAACTACACGAAAGTAAAATCACATGTATGGAAATAAATATACATATATAAGTATGTACGGTTGTAGTCAGAAAGGTTATCTAACCGTTTATGATAAATTTTGGAACACAGTCTATCATGTCAGAAATTATAATTCCTGTTCATGAAATACTCGTATGTATTATTCCACAGATATTTGTATGTATTATTTCTTTGTTCTAATAATAGATCACTGTATATATATCCGCGAAAAAAGCTATAACCTCATAATAGACTGCGTTCCGAAACTGTCATAAAAAAGTGACCTTTCCGACCACTATACATACGTATGAAGTTAGGGCCAGTTTCACAAATATCTATTCGGTAAACTATTAACCGAAGGTTCATTGATTCCGTTTCTTTTTAAATAATAAGATGGAAAAATATATTGACCGTAGCCGCCAACGCGCGCGGACGCATACACCGAGCGGAGGGTTAGACGGCCGAGCGTGCCCATAGCGTGCGCTTCTTCTCCTGTTCATTGGGCTCGCGCGCTGATTGGCCCAAATTATTAATTTTCAATAATTATTCGAAACGTAATGATCGGATCGACTTGTAACAAACGACATTTTTCTTAGATTTTCGCGCGTTATCCGACGGTATACCGCCAATGCGATGATTTATTAACACCCTGTATATATTGTATACATAGAAAATATTTATAGTAAAACTTAAATATCTTCTTAATTATAATACACAGATTATTACAAATTGATTTATATATCTCTGATTTAATATCCAAACAACGAATAATAAAGAAACATACATAAGAGAATTTATAAGTATATTAAGAAAGGACTTAGACATTTAGATGCATACATATATTATTATTAATACTTGAGTACTTTACTCGAAATATCTATTATCTATGTTAGACATTATATCTGATATCTATTCTAGCCATTCTCTAATATATTGACACTTTATAGGTGTAACAGGACCTTCGTCACGACATTGTCTTCTCACCTGAAAAACAACAAATATTGCTTATTTATTATAAAAATTTATCATAAAAATTAAGATTAATATAAGCTCAAAAGAAGAGATGCTCATACGATGAAATAATAAGATTTGTCATATCGAGTTAAACTTATGTACTATTATTGGTTCATTTAATCTGTATCAAGATCTTCCTTAGTCAATAGCCAAAAATAAATTCAATGTTTATTAAAAAAAAACTTAAAAATGTATACAACATATGAGAACACGCCAATGTGGGTCACAAGGCAGGATGTAGGTAGCCCAACTTGTAATTTTTCTGAAAATAGTGAATCTATATACCGTTTCTTTCCACACTGGTTCTACACGCCGATTTCTTTTTCGGACATAACGCAGTTTTTCTTACACGTGGAATTATTATCGTCAGCAAATTCACGTATTCAAGTCGATAAACGATTTTTGTAAACATTTTTCTGATACTACGATTAGTATTCAATATTTTTCGCAAGAAAATTAAAAATAAATTTACAGCACGGGAAAAGGGAGGGTGGTATTGAATGCTAAACGTAGCATCAGAAAAATGTTTACAAAAATCGTTTATCGATTTGAATACGTGAATTTGCTGACGATAATAATCCCACGTGTAAGAAAAACTGCGTTATGTCCGAAAAAGAAATCGGCGCGTAGAACCAATGTGGAAAGAAACGGTATATAGATTCACGATTTTCAGAAAAATTACAAGTTGGGCTACCTACATCCTGCCTTGTGATCCACATTGGCGTGTTCTCATATGTTGTTTAGTTTTAGATAGGAGTCTTACTTGAAAGTCTATTATTAAAAATGTATATTGGCATTTGTATTATCGCATAGATATCCATGATTTTAGATATTAGTCCTAAAGTTTTATAGCTTATAGTAGAAGAAATAATTAATTTATTTTATTCATTTTTCTAATAAACATAATATATTTGTAATATATCTCACTGGACATAAGCCACAAGGAGTCTTAATTAATCCAGGTGAGCTGAGTAAAGGCTGAATTGCTCTATATAAATTACTTCCATCTGCTGCCAGTATTCGTTCAACCTTACCATCATAAACCAAAGTATTTAAAATCATCTCCATGTTAGTTACAGATAATTTCACCTATGAAAATTTCGAGTTTCTTTTTTAGTAACAAACTTTTAATGATATGGAAAAATGAAATGTGCATAAAAAATATTACCTTGCTTATTCCTAAATCTGAAATAAATTTCCACACTTCTTTAGAAGAAGCAAATGTCATGTTTCTTGCTGCAATAGGTCCAGCATTACAACTTTTCATCTTTTCTCTCTTCTGCTCCAAAAATCTATAGCATTGCTGATTCAACACGTCAACAAATTCTGTTTCAAAGTCTTGATCTTGATACCAGGCACCACCTGTTACAGACTCATCTGGTTCCAAGTTGTATAGCATATACACTTTTTTCTTGCTCGCTGCGACAGGTTTAACAACTTTTATGAACTTTTTAGTTTCTAAGCTTTTCAAAATTTTTTGTAATTGAGTGTGCATTAAATTAGATTTAAATCTTATATCTCGAGTCCATATTCCCTTATTTTCTGCTTCTTCAATAATCCTATATACGATTTTTTCTTCATTATCAGCACATTTAGCAAGTTTTGTTGGGTCTTTCAAGCGATAAAACAATAAACCCGCTTGTTTGAAAAGATCAAAGTATCCTTGAGATAGAAGCTTATTTATAATCTGAGCTCGTTGAACTGGTTGTAAATCAGGTAACTCGATAGCCAAGTCTTTGTCTGAGATACCCTTAGGTCTCTCTCGTGCAAGAGCAATTATTCTATAAAAAGAAATAAGGCACCTCAATATATAATAAAATGACAAATTTAATAACAAAATATATGATGTAACAGAATCTAATTACTTTTAATTTTAGTAAGTACTTATAATTTATTAACATGTAACTTATATAACACGATAAAACAAATACTAAATATAAAATATTTTATTATATTAGAGCCCAATATCTTATTTCAATGATTCAAATAACATGAATTATTGGAGACGTCCACTTAAAGTGAGGGAGGTCCGGGTTTAAACCTTGGCTGAGGTAATATTTTTTGTAATAAGAATTCCTTTAATGACGACAATGTTCTATCGAGAAAGAAACTGTGTTTTAAGACCAAAAAATAATCGGTATGCAGGATAGGATGAAAATGGTATAAAATTCATTGTATAAACTATTGAGCTACCTACATCCTGCTCGGACTGGACTGGCGAACTTATTTCTTATTGATTTATATCAAATTGGTCCACGATTTAACTCTCTATTATAAATTATTGGATTAATTCATAAATGATTCCATTTTACTTAGCAAAATGAATTAAAAAATTTTAGTTTTCTATTTAAAAACATTTGAATAAATTTTGTTATATATTAGATAGCTAGTGACGTTACCTGTTATTATTTTGACATCGAAATGCCTGCAAAATGACATTTTTGCTGATATTTGTTGAAATAATGACAAATACCGTCAGCTATACTTTCCTTTATCAAGTACAATTTCAGTACTTTCTATTTATCAACACAAATTGACACAAGTATGACTTATCCTTGCTCATCTGGATGTTGAAAAGACAGACTGACGCTCGTATCAACTTAAGTATCGTTAAGTAGAAAGCGCTATATGTTACCATTTAGATGGAAATTTATTAATTTCTTCTCTGAAGATTAGGAGTTTTAATACAAAAAATGATTTAATTTATCGGCTTCAGCATCCTTATAACTTTTTTTTCATTTAATTGGAAATAGATACATGGGAATTTAATAAAGCAAGATCTAGAGAATAAGAAAGCTGAGACAAAACTGACCATAAAAGTTCCAGAAATTTTTCTTAAAATTATTTTAGCCACGCTTGTCGGACATTGTCGTGTAGGAAAATCATTGTTGATCATTGTAGATGACAGCCGGTCAGTATAAGTACTGAGTCCTTATTCTTGAAAAGTATCGATATTTCATGAATATAAAGGGTAATATTCATATTACTAGAATTATTACGCTTGATATTCTAATATCATTTGTATAATATTGTATGCAGTATTTTTCAAAAGTAAATGATTCTTAAATAATACACTTTTATCTATTTATAGTAAATAAAATAATTACATACTAGATAATAGTAATTTTTTCAGACGAGAGAGTAATGTCTACAGCGAATTGTACTTATGAATCAATCCAACAAATATATATAACATTATTTGATATAATTTTTTTTTAATACTGTATAATAATATTAAATATTAATCAGTAAATATCGTCAATTAATTCAAAGGATATTCCAATGTTGTGAAAGGCTCCCAGAAGAAAAAATATATAGGGAGAAGTGCCAATGTGAGCTACAAAATGAACGGAACTCGGTTCTCACAGTATATGTAGAAAGAATTTCTCTTTAATATAAAACGTTTCGACCCTTCTTCGGGTCTTCCTCAGTAAGACTATTAGATACAATTTAACAAGGCAGTCAACGGTTACATCAGCTGTTAGATGAGTCCGAAGCGACGATATTGGAACGACTGTCTCTTACTTAGTCTACTACTTAGTCTACTACTTACAGTCGTTACAATATCGTCGCTTCGGACTCATCTAACAGCTGATGTAACCGTTGACTGCCTTGTTAAATTGTATCTAATAGTCTTACTGAGGAAGACCCGAAGAAGGGTCGAACGTTTTATATTAAAGAGAAATTCTTTCTACATATACTGTGAGAACTGAGTTCCGTTCATTTTGTGGCTCACATTGGCACTTCTCCTCCCTATATATAATTCAAAGAAAACGTGCAGTTCTAATAAAGTTGAAACGAGAGGTATATTTGCTGTAATCACGATTAAAACTTTGTTTTTTTCCTGTAAGGAAAAATTATGTGTCTACTTCGAACGCAAAAAAAACAGTGTACGGTTACAGAAATAGATCTACATTCATACTTTTGCTCTATTGTTTCAGGTCCATCGTGTTTTGTGCTGGTACTTGCATTTTGTTCTTCCACTTCCATCACCAATCATATGATTAAAAATAATTTTGTGCGATATTATACTGTAAATTGCCTTATTGTTGTTTTTCTCAATAAAACTTTTTACGAGATTCACATTAATTTATGTGCAAGCCTGCAAGTATTGTTTTGAATTAAATTACGTTAGGATTAGGTTAGAATTGCTTGATATCAAACATATGTACGGAGCAGAGAAAAACCTGAGAGCGGCCACCGAAAGTCTACTAGCTCAGAAACAGATGCACCCCCTGACAAAGTGAATGTCAACTACGGATGTGTTCGAAAATGGATTTAGGCCCGGTTTCACCATAGAGCTATTACAGATAGAGGGAGGGAGTCAACG